GCGCGTTTTGCGGCCCGAGAATCGGACCCGTTAAACGGCCGGCAGTTAGCTTGTCCTAAACAAATACGTCCAACCATCTGCGTAAGGGAGTTTCGTGAGAGTTAAAACATTGTTTAGGTGTCCAGCTCGTGTCGTTAGGCGCGAAACAGCGCTGGGAATGTAGCGTGCGAGGTTTTTTGGCTCACGATTATGTTTACGGGCGGGCCTCGGATTACGATTCCAATTTCGAATGGGTGCGAATTGGCATGGTTGTATTTTTTCTTCTAGAACCAACATTTGTAGCCAGGCTTTTTGTAAGTTTTAATTATAATAAGCAGATAATGTTTTTGATATCAATGGTTCTGTTGCTTTTAAGAGTACTAATGCTTGTGCATTATTTTTAAAAGCGCGCAATAATTTTGCTTTAGGTCTTCCCTTCTATATCGCACATTTAAAATCAATTATCTTAGAAACAATCATATAACCAAATGAAAAAATAAACACCAGCAAAGAAACGCTGAAGTTAAACCGAAAACTTAAGTCTCTAAATTCTGATACTCAAATTGTGTGTATGGACTTTTTTGCGGGTATTTACTTACTTTGTTTACGTACTTTGAATATTCCAAACCAAAGGAAGTAGTAAAATGGTTTGATTCAAGTTAAATCGAGAGTGTGATTCAAGCTTTTCCATGAACCTTTCAACTCATTCCAAAAGCGTAATGAACCTCATCTTCGAAGCTGTCCATTACAGATTTCTATATTCAAAAACTTGACTTTATCTGTGCACCGTAACTTTCCCGCCAATCGCACTTGTCCGACGTCAATGTCTGCGGCGAAGAAATTAAAAGTTGCTCAGTTTGCCCGCAGCGGTCGACGGCGCCGGTCGCTCCTGAGATAGCTCCGTTCGCAAAGCCCATGACAGATATCTATGAAATAAACTTTTATTAAGAACGTTAGTTCCGCTAGGTATCGCTCGCCAGGGCTTCGCATGAGAAAAATCGAAGTTACATCAAACTTCTTAGCACAATTTAGAAATTATACATAAATATTATCTCCCTTTGAGTTATTCTATTGTTAATTAATGCTTGTTAGAGAATTTCCAATTTTTCTTCTTAGTCCTTAGTCCACAAATTTTGATGTTAATAAATATTAGATTTTAATTAGAAGCCATTTATACGGATTTTATTACGTTTCATTTAAACTTTTACCTAAAACCGGACGATTCGAATCCTTTGCATCATATTTTTATGTAACTAGTAACTAGCAAGGACCAGTTTCAAGTACCTAGTTAATATTATAACAAAGAAAAAAATCGTTTTAAGTTGTAAAATGTTGCCTCAATTCATGTTTAAATTTATATATTTTAAATATACATACATATTTTGGAATTATAAATATTTAGCATTTCTTCACTGAATAATTATATACCTACTGAAACTTAGCAAAAATGAGCGTCTGTAGTCAGCGGTCTCAGCAACTATTCAAAGACGCAATCGATTCATAAACATGTAATTAAAAAATAAATTATCTTCTTCGTTATAATGAATTTGAACTTTTCTTAAGACAGCGCTCGTATCGATGTTTCCCTTTATCCTTCCCAACTTAACTCGGGCGAACTTATAATTTGATGAGCTTAGGCGTATCCCGGCGCAAGTTTACGGTGTATGAATATTTAATAGGCCATGTTTTTGGCGCCCAGCGTGGATCTCTTGTACACTTTCCGCTTGTTTTCCCGCAGCCGCGATTTTTACGCCAGTGATTTGGAGAGATAAAGGGAGTAATTTAATCAATGCTTCGCTACATTTTTTCGCGTCGGTTTTTTGTATGGGAATTTGGCTCGGTCCATCTCATTATATTCGCGGCGTGAATTGGATATTATGTAGAATTTTCTCAACGCACAGGCTCGTCATGCTGATAGGTCTTGTTATATACAAAAGTTTTATTTCTATTCTGAAAATTAAAGCACGGCATACAAAGTGTAATCATCGTCGGTAATACCTCATTAATTACCTTTTCTTTTTGATGTGGGTTTTCGAAATGCCTACGCATACGCCACCCTAGCAAGGGCAAGAGGGGGTTATGTCGGACTCGCACAGACTAAAACCCCCACGATGTCCCACCAAGGCGCATATCGGCAGGGCGACGGGAACGCTTTCGCACACATCCGCGACGCTGCCAGCGCTGGCCGCCTCAACAGTTCCCTCACGGGGAGCAACCCCTCTCCTCCAGGCAAGGCACGCTGAAATATTCAGTGCGTCTTCCTACTCGGCTCGAGTTCGCTGACCAGAAGCCAAGGGAGCCAGGAGAGCCAATAAGCAGCAAGCCTCCCAGCCCCCAGCGGCAGACCTGGTCTGTGGCTGCACCGTTCACCACGTTTCCGCCGCGGAAGGTATGGAGAACGGCGTACCGCAATACCGACACTCATCAGCCACGATGCACGACCACTGCACCAGCGGTGTAGCCCCGCCGGGTCGCGGAGGATAGGGAGCGCGGCCAAACGCAATGTCGACAGTACTCTTCCCCGCGACTTCTCCCCAGTAGCAGTAGACAGTGAGAGTGGCTCCACCTCTACCACCCTCGACCTGTCCCCTACATCCTCCAGCACGCTCCTCTCGGGCCGGCCTTTCACCACAGGCCGGCCGATTGTTTATTACCTTATTAATTATAATTAACGCCTTCAGGTATACCTAAAGGCGTTAACATAGATAATATTTCACGATGAGACCTCAGTTTACATGATAAATGTAAATGGAAAAAGTGTACTGCAAATAAGAAATCCGAAGAAAAGGAAAAGCGATGTGAAATCACTGCGAAATTATGATAAGTAATAACTGGCCCGCAAAGATAATGGTTTTTAAAACGATTTTCAACTCGTGTAAAGTAGGTGAAGCTGTAAAGCGTTGTCTAATACTTCTCCCAAGGTCTGTCCATACATCTTGTATGGGATTAAAGCCAGGGCTGCGAGCTGGGGAAATTGTTCATACAGACAGCTTGGTTTAAAACAGAGGCGAAAAAAGTAGACTTGTTCCAATTTATCATTTCAATTTGTTATTCTGCAAATTTTTGAAGTTTATTTTTTTAATTTGACGCTTTTTTAAAAATAAACCTTTACAAATGTACATATATTTTCATACTTATTTTTCATAAGCGTCATTACTTATCACATAATGTTAATGATTAATTTGTTTAAACAACTTTGGGAAATATCGCCGTATTTCCGTGATCCGTTAGTTTTGCGATCCAAAGGTAATTAATGTCTATTTTAATACGAATAAAAACCATAGCAAAAAGGCAATTCAAATAAGATAGGATTAAGCAATATGATATTTTTTAAGTGAACGTCTAAAACGGCGCTGTACAATGAAACATTTGTACGAGCAGCCTTGAAGACGCGCTGGTTGCCGTGTGGCCAGTAAAGCAGCGAGTAGGTAACGTTATTGAAAATAATTAGATTTAAATTCTTAACTTACAAAGAAGATTTGACGATGAACTTCTACACTTCATCCGTTTCTAAATTTTAAAAACCGTCATTGGATAGTTTATTGTAAATATTGATAGGTTAACACGCCCGGTTTCTGATACACCGATCATCGTAGAAGTTAACTAATCAGCTGTCAAATGTCTTCTCAAATGTCATTTAAGTTGCCAAAACCATCGTTAAACTCTTTGAATTGACAATGATCAGAGTACGCACCAGAACACACCGGGCGTAAGTGCACCTAATACATGAATTCAATATTAAATAAGTTTCATATAATCATGACTGTCGACCTATTCGTCGATGACATTTAGTGTTCCCTTCCTTATAATATAGTCTAGTTCATGACTGTCGATCTATTCGTCGATGAAGTTTACGTGTCCCCTGCTTTATAATATAGTCTCGAAGATACCCCCCATATTAAGGAAACCTTGAAGCGCTAATAAGGTTTTCCACCCCCACCAGCGTACGGCTTCTTGTAACTTTTGATAACGCCTGCCATGTTCTATCAATCAATTTTAATGAGTGTCTGATACTGCTGTATTATTTTTATCTGAACTTTAGTACATATTAAAATTTGTTGATGACAATGTCGCAAAATTATTTGTCGTTCTCAGGATTCGAACGTGCTCAAGAGTGATCAAGACGTCATTGTAAAAATTTTTTTCGTTATTATTTCGAAAAATATGCAGGCGTACTACGTAACGCTGCCCGCTGTTTCCCTCCTCACCGTTGAGCCACGTGATAATCGGCACTTAAATTAAAATTTCATTGGTGGGCAGTCGCACACTCGCTCGCCCACAGGAACACGCAACTCGGATTGCTCGGTTTTAAGTTATAAATTATTCTCTTTAATCTGCACTATTTCCCATTTTTCCTCGTATGTTATCTGAACAGAAGAAGTTATATAACATACACTTCCTAATTCAAATAATAGGAGTTTTAAGCTAATATGATGGTCACAATCGCAAAATAAAATGGGTTAACATGCCATTAGACACTGGTGTGACAAATTCATTCAACGAATTGATGAATTTTAACTGTGGCAGGGCCACGCAACAGTCTTCGCTGCGGACGAATGGGCAGGTCCGTACGACTAAACAGAAGACCGGCGCCAAGTGACGGCTCGGTGTGAAGTAGTCGGGCTCGCATTATAAAACGTGACAACGCATCTGCATCCCTATGGGTGTTACAGATATCAATGGGTGTCGGTTATCATTAACGTCAGGTGAATCGCCAGCTCATCACCTTCTCACATGAAAAATGTTTTAAATCCTTACTATATTAAATCCTTACTGATATTATAAAGGCGAAAGTTTCTATTTATGGATGGATGTTTGTTACTCATTCACGCAATTACTACTGCATGGATTTTAATTAAACTTTAGAATAATATAGCTTATACATCAGAATCAGACATAGGCTATAATTAGATACATATTTTTATGTATATATATGTATGTCTTTCTGTCTGAATGTTCAGCCTTCAGCCTATTCTACGCAGACGTAGTCGCGGGCAGCAGCTAGTAATTTAAATATTGCAATGTTGACGCACGCGACAAACGCGTCGTCGTGCGCCGACGACAGGCCTGTCACTGGACCGTCCGCTCGAAAATCGTACGTGGAAAAATGGCGCGACGCAATAACAGTTAGCAGCACGGCCGAGGCGCGATTAGCTCAGCCGGGCTCCGTTACACGCCGTAGAGTAGACGGAGGGCGCATCCGCACAAAGGTACAGAAATATGCGGCCGGTGCTAAACATTAACGATAATAGTCACCAAGTCAGTTCTAATTGCGAGCCAGGACCGCGTTATGCAATATGTATATCGCATACATTTAATTTTAATATATTGTACCGCATTTACTACTGGATGTTGAGGCAAAGGGTTGTGGAATATGTTATTTGTAATCAGTGCAGTCCCTTTTTAATGTATTATTTTGTAAAAAGTATGCTGGAACCTTAAATTGTCTCGCAGAAGAAGTTAAAACTTTTTTAATGCATACCTTTATTAATGTACTGCTCATAGATTTTATTCAAACTGACAGCAACTATGATTCATAAATGAAGTAAAGTGACGTGTTACGATTATGGAGTATTAGTTACACGTTTTTGCCACTATATTTTTTTTCCACACTTTCTTCTTCTTTCAAACTTTCTATTTCTTTTTCACGATCAAGTGTTATGTTTGTTAAAGTTCTTCACACGCAATTTTCCATATTGCATATCTCAGAAGATTAGTAAGCTGAGATTGTAACCGATGGGGAAGAAGGGTTCTCCACTGACAGTCTCGTACTGGTCATCGCAGTATAGGATGACCCCTGCTAGATGGAGGCACCACCTGTGCTAATGTGCGGGAAGTCTATAGACGCAGGTGGCTTAGAGTTTTGTTTCGGTGCAGTCTGTAGGTTAGGCCTATATTCAGCATTGGGCTTTGGCTCTCTTCGTATGCAAAAGCAAATAAATAAATAAATGAGCATGGGGCACGTTAGCATGATGCGGTCCCGACTAATTGTGAGCGCGCGTTATCGCGAGACAAACGCTCGCTGCAACGCATAACCATTAGCATTTTTTGGTTTCGTGAAATTAGCGCCTTTTTGCATCGAGCTACCCCGTGCGGTGATAGCGCCTGCGCCCAATGCTATGGCGATGGCGTTTCCCCTTTTTGCAGTTGTGTGGAGCTACTTAATTGGTCTATACGGGACCCAACGTCGTGGGGGTCCGTTTATTAACGATACGTCTCTCTTCGTGTTCCTACTGCGAGCGACGAACTGGTGTCTCTAATGTTTCCTTGTACTGTTATAATTCTACATATTTAATCTAATTAATCAATCATTTATTAGTACCTTTTGTTGTCCTTTAAAAGTTGTTGGTTTGCAACCTATTGCGTCACGTGATATTTCCTACTCCCTAGAATGGGGGTGGTTGGTATTTGTTTTTGAAATTTAAATCGTACACATTCAAACGTATGCGAGTTAGTATTTGGTTATTGTTATGCAATTATTGAGTTATAGTTGCATAAATAAATTGGTAAAGGCTATGTTTTATAACTTGACACGGTGGTAGGGCCACGCTGCAGCCTCGGCTGTTGCACGAATGGGTAGGCTCGTCCGGGTAGGTACCACGACCTCACAGAAGACCAGCGTAAAGTGGAAGTATGACAAATACTTTCGCGTTTCGTCTGGTGAGTGAGGTAGCCGGAGCCCAATTTTCAAAAGGTTGTCAACGCATCTGTACCCTCGGGTGTGACAGATGTCCATGGGCGGCGGTATTCACTTAACATCAGGTGAACCGTCTGCTCGTTTGACAACTTTTCGCATAAAAAAAAACTTATAGCTAACAGTAGTTCTACCTAAAAAGGACATGAACATATGACCACCGGGTGAACAATTCTATGTGTATGTAAACAGTTTGTAGATTGTTAAATGTATGTCAACCGATTAATTGGAAAAAGTTGAGGAACAATAAGAATTATCAATAAAAGCATTAGATTTTGATACAAATCATTCGAACGTCACGAATTGAGATTAAAAATAAACGCGATAAATCCGTAAAAACATTTACATTATGTACAGTCTACTGCAACTAGAGTAAGATTAATTGTAAAGTAATAATATACATGTTTGATTCTAAGAAATTATTCGCAGTTCTTCGTCTGTTCATTGCTCCTTGTATGTTTTGGTCCTGCCTTATTCGTTAATTAGTAAATGGCAGCATCTAGGTCTCAGTCGGATACGTAAGGGAATTGGTTATTAATGACCTGTCTTCGTAGTTTTTCAACTAAACGTGTTAGATAGACATTATAATAATTATAAATACTTGGAGCATCAAGATGTGGAATTGCAATTCTCTTTACAAAATATTTAAGTAAAAAATGTTTATAAAACATTATAAGACAAAAATGGCAATGGCCGCTTATTTTCAATCTTATCTTATCTAATTGACCCTTAATTTATGATTAAAAAAAAAGTCTTAATTAAATATTTCAAGTCTGTTGTTTGAAATTTATGTGAGAAGGTGCCCAGCGTGCTGGTGGTTCAAAGCGATATTTGGAAGCACGCTCTTCACATTCCCAACATGCTTTCAAAAATCCCAGTAAGGCCACGAACAGCCTCGGCTGGAGCACAAATGTGCAGGTCCGTTCGGGTAAATACCATGACCTCACAGAACATCGGTGTGAAATGGAAGTGATACACTGCTACTTGCCTTTCGTCTGGCGAGTGAGGTTGCCGGGGCCCGTTTTATTAAGAGGTGGCAACGCATCTGCAACCCTACTCGTGTTGCAAATGTCCATGGGCATGCGGTTATCACTTCACATCAGGTGAACCGCCAGTTCGTTTGCTACTTTCTCACATAAAAATAAAATAAAACTCTAGCTCCACTGCTTGGCCTGCCCGCATTAATAAAGTTAAGAAACGGCGCATCGAGACTGGCTGGTTGGACGATCAGTCTGTTTAATTAACATTCCGGCACATCCAGGTGTCAAGGCAAGGGAATTAAACCGGTATCACTCGAGCATTTATTGACAGCCGCCCTAGCGTCGTAGGGCTGCCGATTTCGATTCGAAACTATTACTTTCTTTTAAATTGAATTCCGCTTTCTGCGCCTGAGAGTATTGACCAAGGAATGATTCATATTAGATAAGGTTATAGCCCCTTATTACAAAAAGTCGCTTTATTTGTAGACAAATGTGATTGTATACATTTGAAATTTACAGCACTATGCCACGTTCTACAAGAAATTGGAAAGTAAGCACAATTTTCCCACTCAAAAAAGGCTTTATCAATTTCCATGTCACGTGTTATCTGTGCTTAGTTTTACGTTTTACAAAGTCACCATAGTTCACTTATAAAAAGCTGATTAAAAAACTCAGAGTAGATCTGGTATGGCACGTAAGTAATGGAGTTACTGGGCTGGTGCCTTTTCAATTATAACAACAAGTATATACGTAAGTAGGCGTTGAATATTTTCAAAATGGACGACGCAGCCCGTGTTTAGTCGCAAGACGAGCGTTCGACAGCCCCCGTTACCGAATCGGCACCGGCATTCACTACATTAATGTACGCTCGACGGAAGAGAGTGCCGCGATATTTGATCCTGATACAAACAAAACGCAGAAGAGAAGACTGAAAGACTTACGGGCTTCTCTGAGTGTTAACGCAGTGAATTGTAAAGAATGAAAAAGGTAACTAAAGAGTTTTAATATTTGCGACTACAGAGTTTTTATTTCTTATCAATTTTAATATCTATGATATAGGAGCGTTGACGTCAGGTTGTAAATCATTTGGGCAATACTATTAACAACAAGATTCAAGTTATGCCGACCCCACCTAGGTGGGATAAGGGCAGGCGAAAGCTGATGAAGAAAAGAATTGTACAATACTTGTGCTTGTAAATTAGTTGTTATAGTTCCCACTTATAAGTATAAATCCTCTGATTTTATATTTTATGTAGATGTTGTAGATATATATTGTGAATAGCTATAAATTGCGTATAAATGTATCTGGGATATGTAAAAGTGCGAAAAAAATTTGGACTGTTTTGGTAATCACAATGATCGCACCCTTTAGGAGCGAACGCGCCCGATCTCTCGCCTGTATTAATGCGGCCAATTTGTAAGAGGGCGCGGTGCGCTCATTAATCGAGCGGAGCGGAGCGGAGAGCGGGGCGGGACGCGTGCGCGTTTGTCTGTTCATTTTCAACGCTAATTTGACTTTAATTAAACAACGAATCGCGCGTTCGTTAAGATCCGTTAGGAATTAACGACGCCTATTTTGCATGCGCCGTTTTTAGCGTTCACAAGTAGACGCCGCCTCCGTCCGCTTACTTGGGCTGTGTTCTGATAATGTTGAAATTAATTCTTTGTGTATACAATCTTAAAATTATACACAGAAGCTAGAGAAATTGAAGCTTAATTCTAATTTACCAGTTTCGTTCCATTTTTTAATCATTACACCAAAAAAATTGTCTTACATTTGTATATAGAATTTTTTTTGGTTTGTATTTTTAACAGAATCCTATGGAATGTTTAATTGGTTTTTTAAGTTATAAAAACTTTTAAAATAAAAGTACACACGATTCATTTATTTCACTGACTTTACCGTAATTGCTTTCAAGTTCGGAGCTCTAATTTCATTTTTGTTTTTAGCGCTAGTCTCTGCACTTAAGATGCAACTTTTGGAGGCTCTGTTTATTTTTGCTAAAATACTTCAGATTGATATTTGATAGTGAGCTATGAGCACATATAATTGTGATGAGAAAATTGTTAATATAACCCTTATGTAATGGTGTTATTAGTAAGTTTTGGACAAAAATCGTTAGTGTCACTCGTCTCGTCGAACGTATTAAGAGTTACAGCGCAACATTTAGCGACAGGTTTACATAATGTACACGTGACAGATACAAGAAAACCGTAAAATTATTTCACGCTTGACACTGAGACTCAGATGCAGTATCATCACTTCATTTTTGTCCGACCATTAATCTAGACACATAAAGATCCACCCTTATCAATTATCATTCAGGGGTAGGCGGAAGGGTAAATGGAGGCTCCGCGGTACTTCTAGTTTTTTAAAAATAAACATAATAAGGCGACACAATATATACACGTGAATCTACGTGTAAAGGACAAATCTAAGTTATTATAATCCTTGATGTAAACGATAAGCCGCCGGAGACAAAGGCGGGCACAGATAGGCGCAAACTTCGAAATGGAACGGTAACAAGAGAAAACTCGTTTATCCACCTCAATACAAGGCGGCGTG